AAGCACGGGTCTGATGCTGCACGGTGCAATTCGTGTCCTTTTTGTCCTCGGAGGCTAGTGGGCTGGTCTTTGATAGGGTGTAGGGAGCCGAAAACGGACGTATTCGTATCGCCGACGAAAAAGGGTAAGAGGCCTTTCAAGTTCTCCGTCTGTTCGAAAGGAATTTACTCTTTCATGTGCCACCACCAGATGCTTTGATTGGTGGGAAGTGGCACCTTCTTTCAGTGACCGAGACTTGCAGTATCGAATGCTCTCGGACAACGAATGTTTGGAGACCGCTTTGTTCCACTTGCGTTCCTTCATTCTGCCTTGAAAGAATGGATACGATAGAGCTCTGAATAACCGTTCGCTAGCCATCCCGCCATGGAGTAGCGTCCGCCACATCAGCCACAATGATGAATAGGCACCTTGACAAACAGCCCCCAATCACTGTCAGGGGCGTGGGTGGCATCACTTGACATCCGTTGACTTCTGCTTCTGCATCAGCGATCCCACGCCTTGTATGGTACCCAAGTGTGTACCATCATAGGGCCCGTGAATCACGCGGCTACGATACGTGTTGGAACACAACCACCAGCTCCGTCATTCCCTTCCCTTCTCGACTTCAGCTCCTTCCACCGTTCTATCATCTCGTCCGATCCAGAACTTCACGGCCACTTATGGATCGAATTCCAATCGAAATCATACGTGCTATATTCCAGCTGGCATCGCTGCAGGACACATGGAACAGAAGCATTCGCACTCACGCCGAAATCTCCGAAGGAAGACAGTGGCCGGGTCTTTTCGACTTGGATAGAGGACCTTGGGTCATAAGCAGGGTGTGTAGAGAATGGAAAATAGTCTGCACCTCCGCTCCCGAGCTATGGAGTAGCTTCATCCTCAGTGCAGACAATTTACCGCCTGGGAGGGATGTGGCGGCTATATCCAAGTTGACGACATGGCTGTCGTTCTCTAAAACGACAGCTTTGTCTTTCTTGATCAAGACAGATGGAATTTGCAACCACCCGGATCGCTCGGAGTTGTTCCGTGTCCTCATGAAGCACTCACACCGTTGGGGGAATATCGAAGTCATAAACTCGACCTTCGGGTTCTGGTTGATGTTGGACAGGAACAATACCAAGGAGCGATTGCGCTCGCTCAAGCGTGTTACCTTTCTTTCAGAAGGATCAAATCGAGGATACGTCTCTGACATGACGGTCAAAGAACCCTTCAATCCATCCTGCTATCATGTTTTCGCCAATGCTCCCCAACTCCACGCCCTAATCAATCACGACTACTTCCCCCTCTCTCAATTCGAGATGCCGTGGTCGCAGATCACAGAGTTTGACGGATCCGAGCAGATAAATTTCAGCGACCATGTCCGAATACTGCATCGCACGCCAAACCTAAAAATATGTCGACTCGAGATTGCGATACATGGATTCGACCGCTTAGGACCGTTCAAGGAAGCCCCCTCCCCCTTCATAACACTGAATTACTTGACCACCCTCCGAATACACCTCATGAACTCCATGATTGCAGAGTCTGACTCGATTGGGATAAATATCTCTAATTTGATGACACAACTGGTGCTCCCGTCTCTGAGAACACTTTCCCTAAAATCATCCATCGAGACCATATCCGCACCTTTCGCAGAATTCGCTGCAGTTCTACGCTCGTCCCGGTGCGAACTACAGGAAATAGAACTCTACAGCCTTGTAGTGTCACAACCGGACGATATCGTCGAGCTGCTCAAAGCTTCACCTTCCCTCCAACGACTTTGCATGTCAATAGACACCTCGCAGGGTTCTCGAGTGATACAGGATACCATCCTCTCCTGCCTCGTCGTGAATACACCTTTGGACGACATATTGGTTCCGTTCCTACAGTCCCTACAGCTTGTGATACCCACTCGCCTCGCTGTGGTCGACTTCGATTTACCTTGCTTGTCTGCCGGAATACGTTCTCGGTGGGCGTTTCCGATTGAACCAGGCTGCTTCATTCGAAACCTCTACCTGTCTGTTGGGAGGAGAGAATACGATGATTCGAAGGAGGACGATCAGCTTCCCGACAAGCTACCTCCCATACTAGAGGTGTTGCAGGAAGAGGGGCTCAAGGTCATCGTACAGAAGCTAGCGACCTCGGAGTTGCTTTGACTGCGATGAAATCTAGTGTGGTACCTAAATGTTCAATCCCATGAACACATCCGTGTCGACACAGTATGAATGCAGCCGGACAACGTTGAACCTCTGCGCCTCTTGACTGTTGCTCGCTGACAGTGATTGGGTACAAGACCGTACGGTGGATAGAGGGTACGATAGTCACTAGGTTCATTACTGTTAGGTACTACTACTACAGTAAAACGTTCACAGATAAATCTGAAATACAAACGAGAACAGTCCTTTTATACAGCATCGCCTCTCCGGCTGACGGTAATATCTGAGTCCCAGCACGCATTCTGTATCGCACTTCAACGACGAGCGTTTGAGCTGGAAGGCTGGTCAAAGTCCGCGAATGGATTTTCCGGCTTCTTGTCATCTTGTTCATACATTCCTCCTGCATGACCATCAGCGCCAATATAGTCGGGTCCCTTCACCCCTCCGGCGCCGGGAGGCGGGCCTGCGGGAGGTGCGAAGTGCTGCTGGGGAGGGGGTCCTGGAGGAGCTCCGTATCCTTGCTGACCCCAGCCTGGCTGACCATAGCCTTGTTGACCATAGTAAGGTTGACCGTAGCCATTGCCACCATTGTAAGGGGGTTGGTAATGCGCAGACCACTGCTGAGGTGCGGGGACGCGGGATACGTTTGCTGGGCTCGTGGGGTCAAGTACCTGACGGTAATAGCTGAATGCGATGGAGGTCCATAGAGCAGCAATGACTATTTTGTGTTGATGAGCGTTCAGCCGTGAGGTGGGGAGTTTCACGTACTTAGCAGAATGATCAACTGAACGATTTCAGCCCAAGAATCGTGACTCCATACATCGTTACACCCTGAAAGTAGTTCAGCGACAAACGTTAAGAGAGGGAGGCGGGTGATATTGACGCACATCTCCTGGCATCGTCCGCGTTAACAAATCGGTATTTTGAGGGACCCCAGAATCCGAACGGATAATAGGCAAACTCGCGGTTCGAGTTGATATTCGTGCATTCAGCTATTATATCGTCCTATGATTGAGGCGGTTGATAGATGGAAAGGTGCAGTGCATTTTCGGGAGCTAACCTTGCTTGTAAAATGGATAACGACTCGGATAAGCCCACTGGCAGCTACAAGGACCGTCACCACAGCAGAAAGTAAGGCATAGATCTTGACGAGCGGGAGGCGTTGCTGTTCGAAGGGGGTGTCATGATGTGGATGAAAGGTGGATGATTCACGGGGACCGTACCATTGAAGCAGCTGCCACTCCAAAAGCCTGACGACAAAGTTAGTAGTTGAATCGAAGAGCGATGAGACGCACACACCTCAATGAGACAGATGCCGGTGTATAATACGCCGAGTACCAATGAAATGGTAGCCAACATCTTTGTGCGCTCTGAAGGCTGGTCAGTAATGCCCACGATGGCACTGATTGATGCACGTACGACCGTCGTTGCCGTCTGCATTTCTGAAATTCCCTATCTATTAAACCCAATCTCCTGTAAGATCCACCGGGATAAGAACCACTCGAAAGACCAACCGCACTGGGCAAGAAGTCAGGAATAATGTGCCGAGGTGAGATAAAAAGTACTTACGCAAAGAGAGCATAGAGTGCAGCAAGACCAGCACCTGAACATCACGAATGGGGAGATATTAGAGGTGGTCGGACGGTATAAAAATGTTGCACCGACAAAATATCACTATGGGTCGCAGACTCCTCTTGTAGACTCTTGTGACAAGTTCATATCGTGGAGGGGGCCCGCCTGACGGTTCGCATAATTAGTCTCGAGCGGAGCAACCCGAGTAGAAGTAGCGTCAACTTGCCTGTCCACGATGTATCAGTTGAAATTGAACGGGTAGCGGCAGACAAATATGACATACCTGGAGGCGCTGGTCTCGTTCCTGTATTCATTATTCACGAATTAGTTTTTCTCTTTCAAGTTATTGAGGGCGTCAAGAAGCGTTATTGGGTAGATTGTTGTACAATGGGAAATGGAGCTCAGCTCTCGAGGACAAAGGTGGGGGTTGCGATGAGGGAGGTTGTTGTGGTCTGTTTAGCTGTTCGACTCGGGCTATTATCTCGTCGTGAGGCTGTGCTTGCGCAGTCCTCCACAGCTGTTGTGCCACTTCCAATGCCATCCCCGTTCTGACCGTAGCCTAACCCTTGCCATTATAGAGAAACGAGTGCTCCGCAGCTCTGATCCTATCGACCCAAATATGCCACGTAACCTACATCTCCCACCTATGAAACCAATCAATCGTGTTGACGAGCTTCGCGAAAATCAATCATTCCGGATACCTGGTTGACCTATACTTAGTGATGGCGACAACCCAGGATTGACAAGAAGTAATGGTCCCAAACGAAGGTGAGTAACCTTCATCGTTACTGGCAGGAATGATCCATGTCATTTTGGGTTCTTGAAATCCTCGAAAGCTCTCATGTTGAAAATGTCCCAGCTACCGTCGTCCTTCAGCTTCAGACTTCATCACGCACTCAGCCCCGGGTGTGTGCTAGTCGATATATCAATACTCATGTACTATCTATAGGCCGAGCGTGAGGGTGTCAACAATCGCTTGATTGTTGGTGGTTGCCAGAGAACTTGCGTACTCTAAGTTTAGATGACAGACTTAGCAGAACTCTACTAGTATGCACTGGCTACATCTCAACTCCAGGAAATGAGCTGGTCGAACAGATACATCCCCAGGGCAGGGGAAAAGATATAATGCCGTACTCGCGATGGCACCAACAGAGTCATGCACATTCTGGACCACTACAGACACCATGGTGGGGTGTCATTCAAGCCATCGGAACCCTTTTGTTTCACAATCGGAGAAAGGAGCCCTCGTAAAGAGCGGCCCGTATAATGTGGGTCATATCCCTCAGCTATCAAGGGCACTTGGCACAGTTGGTAGCGCGCACGCTTCGCATCGTTTCGAGTGCGTGAGGTCGTGGGTTCAATTCCCACAGTGTCCATTTTTGTTCAGCTCGCCACTCGTCGACAAGACATATATCCTTACTGGCCAGCCAACAAACCCAATGTGCAGCGTTGAGGGTGCAGTCGTTCGTTGCCTTCAACAATGTACTTGCCACAGACATCACTGGAAGTATTCACGAAATCGACATCCGTGTCCGATTGCGAATCCAGGTATACATAGTCCAGACAAGTATCTACACCATGTTCGTGAAAGGGCGCACGATAATATTAAGGAGAAGGAGTGGCAATTGTAACGAGAGGACGGGGTTTAATCTAGAACCCCCAAGGATGTCAATAAGTACGCTTATACAGTCCGTCGTTAATGCATAGCTACACAAAAACCCCGAAGTTCGAGTTTCAGAAACGATAGATAAAAAAGAAATTCATAGCAAAGATGCGAATAGCAATATTGAAGCAAATCCAATGACGGCATTGGAAGAGGATAGCAGCGGCGAGGCGCCATTTCCGAGATTTGAGTTTGCTGAAGCTGTCGAACCTGGCCCAGAAGTGCCGGTCCCTGTGTTCTTGACGGAAGTTGGTTTACCAGGATTGGGAGAGGAGTGGGGTCCGTCCAGATCAACTGTTCCACCAATGTCTGACGAGGGAAGGTGGGTGAGCGGAGAAGCAGCCTCTAAAGCACGCTAACATACATTCTTGGAAGGTAGGCATCGAGAATTGGGTCTCCACATAGGGTTGAGTGATGTTCAGACCGACGGCGACAGGTACTATGTGCTATTTCCGATCGATGTCGTCTGTCAGTCACCGTGCGGATACATTCAGAGATAAGGGGAATGTTACCTTGAAAGCAGCCTTCAATTGCGGGTAATAGTTGATAGCTTCCTGCATAGTCATGTTGTTGGTCTCATGTGCGAGGAGGATGGCACCTTCCTAATTACCCCGAGAGGACATATTTAGTTGTGTTTTTGGTTCGAATCATTCAAGGACATACCCGTTCGAAAGCGCCAGATTTGGCGGTCTCCAAGAACTTTTCGTAGTGTCCACGGACAGCGCTGACTTCAACTTGCCTGGTCTGAGGGTCGGGAATGGTGTCGAAAGTGTCGTACTTCCAGAGGATAGTCCTGACGCCAGTGTGGTGGGCGATGTAACGAACCCTGTCATCGATATCTCCAAAGGGAGGCTGGACGACAAATAGTGTCAAGGGGTGGCACAGTGTCAGGGAGCAGAGTTACTGACACGGAAGCATGTAGGGGTAGCGCCGGTAACGACCTTAATTGCTTGCATCTGGGGATTTGTAAGTACCCAGGGAAGATTTCACATTACCGCATCGACTTACAGCTGGGGAGGGGGGAAATGAAGAAATGAATAAGTTGACCGTACTTGCGCCGCAATAAATGGCAATCACTCACTGTAATATATTTCTGCGAAGACCTCTTCGTTACTGAGACCGGTCACTATATGAAAAATGTCAGAAGCGTTCGTGTGGGTTAAAATATAGGTCCTACACTCTTTGTGCGACCAGGTGTCTAGAAGCAAGACATCAGAAAACGAGCGACTGACGGGCTATCCCGTAACTCACGGACGCAAAGTTCATGGCCATCTTCGAAAGCGCGCTTTGCCTGCAGAGGCCAGCCAATCACGTTGCTACCGATGAAAAACATGGCTAAGAAAGCGAGATTAATCCAGGGTAAACATATCCGTATTTGGAAAACAACATACTAGCTTTCTGCTTCTGATCGGTGAGGTATTGGTAGAAGGCGTTGTGCGAGCAGTTGGGGCCGTCGTCGAATCCGTACCCGAGAGTTTGGGGCTGCCGCAGACAGTCAGAAACGGATGGACGCGGCGACGGGGATAGGAGTCCTCACCTCTGGAATCAAGCTGAGATCATCAGGTACACCTTCGTGCTTGGCCTTGGTACACTCCGTTGCAGTCCACCAACAGTCGGGGTCGTTTTTAGTATCATACGTTGCTTTTGCTTGCAATCCCTAGATACGGATAGCGGTCAGCACATAGGACCACTGTGTGGCTATGAAGACGCGCCTTGAGAGGAAGGTTTGGGATGCCAGCGGACATGCTGTCGTACAGTGAACGGGCGGTAGAATCTGTAGCAACTATCCTCGCGGTTTCCCAGGTTTTTGGGAAATTCGCGATTTGGTTTGCGACATCGGGGTAGTTGTAGTATGTGCACTGTTGTTGGGGATCTGTTGCGCGAAGCATGATTCGATGAGTTGAGTACAACACGAATGATATGTTGACGCACCGGTGAGAGCGGCTTGCTCGGCCACAGTACGTTGGGCGGACGTGCAGTGTAGCAGGGACGCAAGCGCTGCTGCTGCTAAAGGTTTGCTGAAGAACATAGTCCTTTTTCTCCTGGTATGAAGGTGTGGGTAAGACAGGAAAAACGGTAGATTCTAGAAGAGGGTATCCGATGTTCTGAAGAACGGGAATAAACCCTGCGTGGAGGTGGAAGGAATGTGGTGGTGGCGAAAAGGGGAAGGGGGAGAAAAGTTGAACTACAACAAAAACCCGGGCGAGCATGATATTAATGCGAGTCGGTGTAGTTTCCGATCAAGATCCGGATCAGGGATTGTCAGATCTCCGGAGGGCCAAGTCCATGCCAACCTCTTTCAAACAAGAAAGGATAGGCAGGGATGGGACACAGATCAGGGAAAATTCAACATCGGTCCAAGCCAAGTCACTCGTGCCCATGGCCAAGCACAGGAAACTGAGTAACGCCCAGGAATCAGGAGATA